CAATGAATTAGACAAATTCTTGTTGTAATGGAGAATTCTAGAGGAGGAATGGGTTTTGAAATATTTTCTAACAAAGGAGATAATAACCAAAGAACTGCTATATTTTAAAATCAAGCTGGGTATGGTGACTCACACCTGTAATCTCAATACTTTAGGAGACTGAGATGGGAGGATCGCTTGAGTCCAGGAGTTCAAGACCAGCCTGGGCAACATAAGGAAACCCTGTCTCTCCAAAAAAATTAAAAAATTCTAGCTAGGCATGGTGGCTAATTTTTGGTCATTTGTGGTCTACAATCATACTACTCTGAACTTGCCCAATCTCATCTGATCTCGGAAAACAATATTTATATTAAACATATTTTATTTTATTTTATTTATGTATTTATTTATGTATTTATTTATTTTTTTTTTTTGAGACGGAGTCTCGCTCTGTCGCCCAGGCTGGAGTGCAGTGGCCGGATCTCAGCTCACTGCAAGCTCCGCCTCCCGGGTTCACGCCATTCTCCTGCCTCAGCCTCCCGAGTAGCTGGGACTACAGGCGCCCGCCACCTCGCCCGGCTAGTTTTTTTGTATTTTTTAGTAGAGACGGGGTTTCACCGTGTTAGCCAGGATGGTCTTGATCTCCTGACCTCGTGATCCGCCCGTCTCGGCCTCCCAAAGTGCTGGGATTACAGGCTTGAGCCACCGCGCCCGGCCTAAACATATTTTATATAACTATATCACAATAGGAAGGTTCAAGCGTTTTAAGAGAAGTAAAACAAGATACTGTTTTGAAAACGATGTGAAGGAAATTATTGTATTGGATGGAATGGATGGGAGTCTGAAGTCTAGATCTCCTGTTACTGTCATAGGTTAGCTATAGTACCAGATGTCTGATCCAGTCTTCTGTGCCTTGGATTCTGCCAAACACATAAAATAACTCAGTAGGAGATGAAGACTTTGGACATTTCAGGAAATCGTACTTGTGTCAGCAATTCATATTTTTTAATTAATGAATCTATACACATGATAAAAATTTTAAAATAGTACCAGTGGACACAAGGGCCTGATCTGTTTCACTATAGATAGGTAGATAGATAGATAGATAGATAGATAGATAGATAGATAGATAGATAGATAGATAGATAGATAGATAGACCTTCTCACCCTTTCTACTTCTGGCAACTTCAGAGTCAAGGTGTGAGTAGGAGTAATAAACAAGTGGGTGCTTGGGATGAGTTTCATTAAACTCCTTCCTTACATGACCAGGGGAGAGAGACATGTAAGTAGGTCGTTTCATTTTTTCTGAGATAGGGTCTTGCTCCATCATCTGGCTGGAAAGCAGTGGTATAATCTTGACTCACTGCAACCTCCACCTCCTGGGTTCAAGCAATTCTCCTGCTTCAGCCTCCCAAGTCACGGGGATTACAGGCATCTGCCACCATGTCTGGCTAATTTTTGTATTTTTAGGAGAGACAGGGTTTCACCATGTTGGCCAGGCTGATCTCAAACTCCTGACCTCAAGTGATCTGCCCACCGTGGCCTCCCAAAGTGCTGGGATTACAGGCATGAGTCACCATACCCAGCCAGTCATTTCAATACAGTGGGACAAGTCCCGTGGCGGAGATAGGCTCAGGATGTTCTGCCAGCAGGTGTGGGGATACTCAGTCCATCTATAAGTGTAGATATGTGTGTATGCTAAGTTGTGTGTGTGTGTGTCGGGGGAAGGTCATTGAAAGCCTCTTGGAAGTAATAGGGCCAGGAGGCAGAGAAATACTGGGTAGAAGAGGATGGGGTTCCTGGCAAGACCTCCACCCTCAAGTCTGGACCCATGGCCCAAAGTAAGAACTATTCTTGTTTTCCCACCTGAATGTTGCCTTTTGTCCTGCCCCACCCCTTGTGCCCATGAGAACTGCAAACCCCAGACTCAGGGCACGTGTGCGCACATGTGCGCGCACATACACAGAAGAAAGAGAGAAGCTCCGAACATCCAGAGGAGAAGCAGCTGTACATCAGAGACTACGGTCAGAGAGGAGTTCAATTAGGAATGGCCAGACTCCAGGGAAAGATTATTGTCCCACTGCACCCTCCTTCCAGCTCCCTTTCCCTCTGAGAGCCACCTCCACTGCTCAACAAAGTCCTCCACATTAACTAGCGTTTGATTTGTTTGTGCGACCTGATTTTTCCTGGACACCTGACAAGAACTCGGGTACCAAGAGGGCAGAGTGTAAAAGGCTGTCACCTGACCCTCCACTGAGCTAGTTAACACCTAGCCATCCATGGATGGCAAATTCTAAAAGAGCACTGATTGTAACACACGTCTTCTGGGGCTCCGAGGATCATAGACACCCCCTCCTGGATGGCAGAGCTAAAAGAGCATTTTAACACACTTGGACACTGCTGCGGGGCAGCACAAACTCACCCTGCTCCTGACAGAGAGGAGCAACTGGCCAGTTCCAGTGTTCCTTTGTGCCTGTTCCCACACCCATTTGCTTGTGTGCTCACTCCTGTAAGGGATTGAGCATGGCGGCCGAGTAAATGAGCTACTCCCTTCGCCAGTCCCATAATGGATCAAGGGAGCTCTCCCATCTCAGAAGGATGATGACCAAGCTGTGTTATTAAAATAAAATAGAATTACCTAGGTAGAAGAGGGGGAAGGGTATTTCAGGCCAAGGAGCAAGGAAGTAAGAAATGGCATGATGAGTTTGGGAAATTGCAAGTAGTTCATTGTTGTCAGAATGTAAAATTTGAGGCAGGGAATGAGATGGATAGAAACCTGTTCATGGAGGGCCTTGGACGCCATGCCAAGGAGCTGGGAATTCCTCCCTAAGTTGAAATACATGCATGTCTTTTATATATCAATAAAATACTCTAAATATTTATTATTACTTGTTGAAACTCTGGAAATCATGGTTGTTTCATAGACTGCAACCACAGAATTGAGCCAACTATTACCTTAATTATCGGTTGCTGTTGAGCACAAGATCCTTGGTTTCAGTGTCTGATTTCACATGGTCTTCAGAGTACCCAGAACTTTAATCAATCATTTCACAAAAGATTGACGGCGCTCACTGCACAGGAGGACAGTATAGTCAACTGAGTTCAAATCCATCACCACTGTTGGAAAACAACTAAGAATGAGTTGACCTGCAGCATCTTTGGGTACCTAAGATATCCCATCACTGTCATTTTATAAGAGGCAGGAACATAGGCCAATTCATATAAAATGTATTTCTTGCATTTGTGTTAAAGAAGAGAACAAGAGAGGGTAGGAGTATGGTGATTTGATCTTATGAGTAGTAGTTGTTATATGCTCATATAGTTATGAGTATTTATGAGTTATTTATGAGTATGATATTATTTGTCATATATGGTTATTTTACTTTGACTTCTGAGTCTTTTTTCCTTGAATGATTCTTTGTTTCCTCAAATGCTAGACAAAACCGCTAGTTATTGAGTAAAAGCTTAGTGAAAGGGACTAGAAATAAAGGAATTCAGGAGAGAGAGGCTCAAAGGGGGAAGACCTCCTTCCTTTATTAAAAAGAAATAATTCCGTTTTTAAGCACAAAATAAGATCTAAATATAAAAGTTGTTTGTGAGAAAGGTACATATTTTGTAGGAAGGAGGGCCAGTGTTCCCTGTTGGTGTTACCACAACTCATTTATTTATACCCTTTTACTTATTTTTCCCCAGACATAAAACTTTTTCCTGGAATCATCCATAATGGAATTCCAGGAAGATGTGTTAAATATATTGCTATAGTTTACAATTGTCATCTGTAATGTTTTATTTAGCTGATTTTCTTTTTTTCACTGCTCCCTGTACAACACAGAACACCATATGCCATTGTCCCTGTCAGGAAGCAAAGGTTTCCCTGGTCTGTGCCTGTGCCTGTGTTTATGCCACAGAGGAGCTGTGGTCCAGTGCCATCTTTTATTGATAGGGCCAGCAAAGGAGAAATCTAATGAAATTATCAAAGCTTTGAATTAATTATGAACTGGAATAGGAGAGCTAAGCTCTCTGGAGCCAAGGATCTCATTACCCATTCACTCTCATTGCATCCTCTTCTGGAGCAGAAGGCATTTTCAGCTACAGCTCTTAGCCTGGCTTTGGACTTTATTCAAACTTACAAAACTGATATCCTCTTTTTACTACAGTGTGGCTGCTAATGTCCATGATGATTAATTTAATTCTGCTCTGGATGTGCAGGAGATGTAAATAGGTTCTCACTACCCCTTTTATTATTTTTTCTGTCTTATTTTCTTTCTATCAAATTGGATGTTATACAAGTTTTTTCCTTTTGGGTAATGTGAGAAGCTTGCAGGACTCTGGCATAGCTTCACTGAATATAGTGATTAAATTAAAATTAAGAGCTATATTACATCTACTATGTATTCCGTGGATATTTAGGTAAGCAGAAAGTCAAATGTTTCTTCTTTGAATTTTGAACACCAATTTGGAGTTTTTCTTTCTTTTCTTTACCTTGGAATTAATGGTACAGCAATAACTTTCCTAGTCTTAACAGCATTGTTCATATTTCTAATGTGTGATGTATAGAAACAGATCTTACCTTGTGATTGTAGCTCCTAAGACTGTGCCACTGACAGGGAGCAATTAATGTTTGTCTTATATTTCTGTTTTTCCTTCTCCTAGTAATATACATTTTTTTAATGAATAAATCAACCTCTGATTGTTTTAAATTTAGTAGGAAAATCAATAACAACGTGGTCTCAATTTAGCATTGTCAGTGATTCTTTTGGTACTGTCATGTAGGTTCATGGCATGACAAGTGTTTTCTGCCTGCTTTTGAGAACCATTATTTATGAATTCCTAAGCTGTAGCTCATCTGTCTCAGTGAACTACAGGCCACTGGCAATTTTGGAAGCAATGACTAACTTTGCTTTATAGAGTCAATGTTTTAAGGTTTTGAATAGTGGGGGAAGGGAGAATGATAATCTTTGTCTTTATTATTCCTATTTACTTTCAATGAGTTTTTTTCCCCCTATTTATTTTCTTTATAGGCAGCTGCAATATTTAATTCAGCCTTTGGAAGTTTTTTGGTAAGTAAACATGGTTTAACTTGTCTATTACAACTTTTGCTGTGATACTGTTTATATGAAAGATTTAGTGAAAGCTGGACTTCTTTTACTTTTTGGTTAAATATAAAAGTTGTTGAATCTTTTCATGTGCCAGTATCCATACCCTGAAGAAAATTAGTTAATAAATAAATCAAATGTTCTCTTACAATATATTTCGGAGGCTTGGGTTTTAATATTCCATTTAAAGAATTCAAGCAATCAATTAAAACACTATGTGTCTCCTTATAGAGGTTATGTCAATATATTGATCATTTAATGAGGTCTTTTAGATTATTATTATTTTGTGTCATGGGACTAAGGATTTTGAAAAGGAAACATGACCCAGCTGGTCAGAAAGGGAATGCTAATTTACTTGTTGACATGCCATTTATTTTGTACATTTCACTGTCAAAGAAACTACTGGCTTGGATGCTTCTGAGAAATCTATGTGAAAGAAAATTTGAAAGGAAGATATGACTAATCAGTAATTTGCAAGTAAATATTGTATCAATATGTATATATAAAGATTCAAAAGTAGTTCAGCTTTCATAAGTAGAACCAATATAAGGATGTTGTTTTAGCGTTTTTAATCATTATTTTAAAATAAATGATGTAACAGAGACTTGATTTGTGTTATGACAGATTGAGAAACTAAGTTTTCTGTTAATTTAAAATTTTTTGTGCCTTAAAACTTTGTTAAATTCCTGAAGTAAATTAGAATATTATATTTTGGGGGGCATAACTCATTAGCAGGTATGTAGTACAGTGATTTACAAATAATTGAGAGTAAACTAAGTGATGTATAAACTAGTTCATGAGTCTAGGTAAAATATCAATTACCTCTGTTTAAAATGCTGTGTTAATTATTATTGTTTGTATTTAAATGTAGTTAAAACTTTTAAACATGTTGTTACATAGTGTTAATTCTACATAGTGCTGCACAGCTTTTAGTGTCACATAGCCTTACAGAGTTTTTAATGATGTAGCATCTGCAAAAAATATGCATAGCCTATATCTTATTTTTATAGCGCCAGTAATGTTTTTTGCGATGCTGTCTTATTTCTGGGTTATAGACAATAAAGTCTGTTTTAAAAAATAATCTTTTGGATTGCTTAGTTTAGACTCAGTAATATTTTAAGTCATTATTTCATGTGTCCAAGTATTATTCTATATGTTATCACAATTGTTTAATAGAATAATATCTGTAAAATATGAACTTTCTGGAAGCCAATTTTGGTACATGATTTGGTACCATACACCTCCACTATCAAAACATAGCTTCTTAAGTTGGATCTCTTAGTCTTTCAGATGTCTAGACTTTGAGAAAATAAAGTTGACACAATTTTGTCTGAGTGACTGAAACAAAATACACGATTCCTTTGTTAGAGAACAAGCTTACTAAGTATAGTGTGAGACATGCACTGACTATATGAACGTATCATATTTGTTTTACCAGGCCCACTTGTTTGGTAAGGTCTAGTGAAGTACAACTTGTGCTTGTGGTTCTTTGGGATTTGTATTATGCTCTTTCACTCCTAAGAAGCTCTGTATTCTCACTTCTTAGTCTTTTGCTCTTTTTCTTTTCTTCACTTTTTTTTCTTACCCTAATTCAGTTAATCGATCAAAGGTATTTATTGATTTCCTGCTACACAGAGGTAGTTTTCTAGTGTCTGTGAAGAATGCAAAGAAATATAAGGTGGGTCCCACTAGGTTGTGGAGATGACATGTAGAAAAAGAAATGCAATGTAAAAGTTAACAAGCCATATGAAAGATGTTACTAGAGATATATGATTGTCAAATAAATGGCACAGACAATATGCACTCTAAATTCACAGATCTGACAGAAGTGATTGCTCTGAGCTGAGCCTTGAGGTATGGGTAGGAATTAACTGGTAAAGGAGAGGAGAGGAAATGGCATGAGCAATGGCAGAAAGGCAGAAGTGTTGTTTTACTTTTTTTATTCCCGTTCCTTCCCCTGCTTTTTCTTTCACAAAGTTGAAAATTACCAGAGAGAGTTAGAGAGTGAAAATTATGATTAGGTATGTTTTGCTCCAGTGTTGTAAGAGAAATAATTCTATATCTTTTTTTCCTCTCTTCACCATAGTTACAACAACCTAGGATTATGAAACATGTGTGAACTGTATCAGTTAGAATTAGGTTTGGCTTAACAGAAAGAATAATAATAAAAGTGACTTACACGAGATTAAGATTTATTTTTCCATAATAATAAATTTTTCCATTTGGAGGGAGCTGTCCAAGTATGGTATAGTGGCTTCATGATCTCATCATGGGCCAAGACTCCTATTTCTGTCCTCCATCATCTGCAGCATGCAGTTTTCTTCCTCAAGGCTGCCTCATGATCCAAGATAGCTGCTGGAGCCCCAGCCAGAACGTCTGGATAGCAAGGTAAAGTAGTGAGAATAGAAAAAAGAGCTCCCTACTCCAGCCTGGGCTAAAGAGCAAGACTCCGTCTCAAAAAAAAAAAAAAAAAAAAAAAAAGGAAAAAGAAGAAAGAGCTCTCTGAAACCTGAGTCGTCTTTCTTTGAACAGCATTCCTGGAATTCCACCACAATACTAGCACTTCCTTTTGTAGAACTCAGTCACATGATCACTTCTAGCCAGTGAAGTTGGGAAATATGGCAATTTACTGAGAGCTGAAAATTAGATTTCTGTTACTAAGAAAGAAGAGGAAAATAGATATTGAGACAGCTAGTACATTCTACATATGAACAATGTACAACAATTATTAAAGGTTTGAAGAAAGACGTTCATCTCAGTTAAATAACATGAGAAGGCTTCAGGGAGAAATTGGTGCTTGAGTTGGGATTAGGAAGAAGATTTATTTTACAGGAGTGAAATTCCAAATTGTGAACTTTATATTTTTATTTTATTATTCTTAAAGGATGGTATTTGTTACAGCTATTTGGGAATTTTCTCTATAAATGGAAAATATCCACCTGTTCTTAAAATTTAGGATTATGAGTAGTGGTATGGTTTCTGGAGCCAGACTGGGTTTAAATTCTTACTTGACTGACTACTAGCCTAACTATGTAAGCTTCCCTATATATAAAATGAGGCAATGATAGTGTCTAAACTGTGGACTTGTGGGATAAATTATATAACGTGTTTATATGATATGATAAGAAATAACTTTGAGCTAAATGTTAGATCTAGGTTTTTGTCCAAGCTCTGCCATGAATTTTTATGTGTGTGTGACTATGGATATCCATGAAATAAGGAAATTGGTTATCTCTGACTGAGCCCTGCAAGATCTAAAATACCCTGATCCATTGATTATTCTCTGATTATGAGTGACCATTCCTGTAGTACAAACATAATAGAATCTGAAAAGGGTATTTATTTCAGATTACCTTAAATCTCTGAATGAAAGGCTTTTATTAGAAGAGTATTTGAAGAAAGAACTCTGAGGGCATTTTTGTTGATTTTCAGGCATCTGGGTATACTAAATAAAATACTGTACATATTTATAGCTAGTTTAATAATGTCCCAGGTCTAATTTGAACAGTGTTTTTAGAAACTAATTATTATAGAAAGCTCTTTTTGTTGTTTTTGTTATTGTTTTTAATGTAACTAGGTGGGTAATAACTAATGATAGGTGAATTCAATTTACATAAATTTGAGACTAAGAAAATATTTTAAAATCATGCCATGGAGGATTGCTTTAAGTTAAGAAGTTAATGTCATTATCTCCTCCTCTCATTTAAATCGTTCAGTTTATAATAATTGTGGAACATAGTGATTTGAGATTTCTCTCTTAATGAGATTTTAATAAAATTTGATAGTAAAGCACCCTGAATAACTAAAATGCTATTAAAATTTATGTATATACATGTATGTATTTGTACTTCAAGTTCAGGCAACTCACATGTTGCTCCTCATCAGAAGGCGTTGGTTTTTTAAAAATAGATACTGACATCTTTTGGGAAAATTCTAATTGAAATTTTTTTTCTTTAATTTCAAAAGATTCAATTGTGTTGAAAACAAGTTCCCCAAACTAAATTTAGACCATTTGATTTGTTAGAACTTAGCATTTTTGATTTGGAGGCTGAATTCAGTGTTTCCATGTCTCTAAAAATGATAGGTTAAAGTGTAAAAGGAACGTTTAGAACTTTGCTATTTTTAGACTCCTCAGCCTATTTTATTATTTTTGGTAACTCCTAATCTTAAAGGGAAACACTAATGAGTGACAAGCTGATCTTGCCAAACTGAGTTTTTAATAATGATGTTATAAACATTAGAACAATTCATGGCAACATAGATGTACTAATAAGAATTTCAGAAACATCATCAAAGAGTCAGAAAGTTAAATCCTTGTAAATTCAAAACATCTAGTCTAAAAAAGATCTATACGAGTCACTGATTACTTTCTAAATCTCTTCATTTAAAGTGTCAAGAAATGGGTTTCTTTCACATAATTCTTCTCTTTTAAAATACATGTTGCTGGAACTAGCAGAAGCTATTCTAAGATGAACAATTTTCTTTTCATGCCAGATCAAAGGTTAAAAGGAACTCTTTGCCTTGGGGTGAAAAACTAGCCAGTTTATATTTTTCTTCCCTTACCCAATTGTTCTGTCTTCCCTCTGCTTTGGCTGGTTCCCCGTTACAACCCTGCTTTGTAGAAAAATTTGAATAGTTAACTGATGTTGTTATAGCTGCTGAAAGAAAAGAAATCCCAAACACGAATGCCATATTTTAATAATAATAACTTGTGTGTTTATCACCTTCTTGTAATTTTTCCTTTCCTGTACAATGATACATGCCTATTTTATTGTTTTTGGTGACTCCTGATCTTAAAAGGGAACCCTAGTGAATGACAAAGATGATCATGCCAAATCGAGTTTCCAACTATGCTATAAAACATTAGAGAAATTCACGGTAACATAAATGTAAGAATTTCTGAAATATTTAGAATGGTTAAAGAGGAAACACCATTATCTTTGTTACTCATTGATTGCTGTGGA